CAATGCAATTAAACTGACCAGAAGTTGTTGTAACAGAAGAAGACAGATTATATTACTTCTTACCTGTGGTTGAAGCGCAAACAGACCATCAAATTCTTCAGGAACCACACCTTCCTTTGACATCACGTAGACCTTCAGCGCATTTAAGGTGCCTTCTAGTTAGGATTCCACACGCATAAGCTTTTGTTGCAAATGGGTATATGTTGCAGATGATGTACCGTAGCTAGATGAAGAAACACTCGGATCACTAAGTCGTCCTTTCGTATTCCTAAATGTGTTCGAAGGAGATGCTCCCATACCCATACATCGTACTCTCCCAGAGTGCTCTGCCCCTAACATCTTGCCAATAACATCATTTGGGGAAACTTCACATTCATTAGTATCACATTGAGTCATACTCAATTAAATTTGTTCCTACAAGCAGATAAAATATCAATTAGTAAGTACAAGATAACAAGACTTGAGTTGCAGAATGTTATACAAAATAATGAAAATGATGTTAGAAAAATGCATCAAAGCTAGACTTACCCCTATAGTCCTTGCCGCATCATTTACAAATGATCCATTAGCTTTCTTATGAGTTTCAATAAATATTTTTCCATGACTAGGAGTTTTTCCAGTTTCCAAAAACTAAAAAAGAAATGTATTAGAAAAGTTATCATAAAACATTTTAATTAGAGAAAAAGTAAACTTAATAAGGTAATGTGCATACAAGCTCATATCGTCTTCTCGAGTTAGCTTTTGAACCACCAGTGTGTGGCATTTTTTGTTTCTTTCGAATTTCTTTATTTCTTCTACAAAGCTCCTATCAACAAAAACAAATACAAATTTAAAACATCATCTTCATTTAATTATGATGAAACTTGTTAAAATAATCTGAATCTTACCATTGTTGATGATTTTTGACGATAAACAACAAAAATAGCCCATTGATCTTTATTTATACCTGCTGGCACATTACTTATAATTTCATTTTTGCTTTTGGCTGGGTCAAAATATTCATTCCACTACTTCTGCCTATGTGTAGCCCACTTCTTCGAAAGACTAGCATTGCAGTATCTATATACAATGGACTCACTTACCTGAAAATCAAATCGAGGCTTCAAACAAAAAATTGAAGTTAGTTTTTTCATGGTATAAAAATCTAGGTGCAGTAAGTACATATGTATGTAATAACACTTGTACCTTTAATATTGTTTCAAAGCAGTCTTCCATGTACTTCTTAGGCATGCCCGATGGCCCTGACCACTTCTCAAAACTAATCGGAAACAAATTACAATCAATTGCCAGCGATCCACAATATCTAGCAAGTAATCCTTGTGCTTCACCATATGCTGTATTGTAGTCATCAAAATTCACAATGATGCGCTCCCCAACAGTTAGATTGTTAACTTCATTGACCTTGACCCTAATTTTCTTGGTAGCATTTTTCGAGTCTTTAACAAGAAAACAAGTTACTTAACCAAAAAGGAAGAAATAATAAGATTCTCATAAATTGAAGTAAAAATATATGTAAGACATATACCTTTTGCCTCTACTGTCCAATACTTTGTAGATTCACGTCCTGCACGACGAGATGTTGCACTTGAATTAGAAGGCAGAATTGGAGCTTGTTCTTGTTGCGGGACTTCATGAGCATGTGGGAGGGCTTGTACTGTTGTTGAGGGCTCGATAGCATGTGATTGGACTGGAGTTGATGATGATGAAGAATGTCCATGAGCATCATGTGGTTCACGAGCTGACTTTAGTGGATTCCGAAAATGCCTAATCTTCAGCATGGCTGCGTATTCATAAGAAAAATAGAGAGAGGTGAATCAAATATGAAGAGGAGCTAAACATCAGACAGAAGATGATAAAAAAATTGTCCCGAAACTACCCAACAAACCCAATCTAGAGCCTCAAAGATCTGGTTTTTTTACTCCGAACAAAACAAAATAAATAAACTAAGTAAAATATACTCTACAAACAGTCAAACTCAAATAATTGGCAAAGAGGATCACAGAGAATCAATAAACTACAGAATGTCACGATTTTGGTAAAGCTAAGCAGTGAAATTAAAATGAACAAACTTAAAAGAATTAAAATACAAAAAGAAAAGAGAGAACTCACCTAACGCTCACCAGGAATTTCATCTCTCCAAGAGGCACTATATGCTGAATATATAGCTCTGAAAGTGGAAGTTTCTTACGCAGAAATGGGAGATCGGGGGTCGAGGGGAAGGTGGGAATATGGAGGGAACAATGGCGGGAATAAAGAGAAGTTACCTGAGTAGTTGAGTTAAAAAACGAGGGAAAAACCGAGGGAAATGAAAAGGAAAATAGTGAAGTTGTTTCTTTACTTTTTCCTCGGTTTAGTTTTCATTATTACATTTACAAGAGATCAATTTGCTGTAATTTCACATTTTGAGCTACAAAACTGTTTTTCCCAGCAAGTATCGGTAAAGATACTTAATTAAGCCATATGTTGTGACTTTGACTTCAAATATAGCTAGTATATGAACTAAATCAGACTTCTAATCATAGCATAATACGATTCCGATTTGAAGTTATCTTCAATTGAATCATAGAATTATATTTGGACAAAATTTATTTGATCGAACTCCTAAATAGTAGGAATGTTTTTTGAGTTTACAGTTTTATCCTGTCACGACTCAATCCCCGAACCCGGTCGTGATGGCGTCTCTCGCGGAGACAAGGCCAGCCAGACCAAAACGGAACACCTC